CAACAACTCGTGATCACACAGGCTGGTGTGCTTCTTCCATGTGGGCTTTGTTGCTTCTGAGCTAGATGGCTACTTGTTTACCTTCAAGCCTTTAAAACCCCAGATGCTATATCTTTTGTAGCCCAGCACCATCAGCTTTCTTCACCATTTGTGGATTGCTTATGCAATCCATTTGTCTTCAGTGATTGTATTGGGGAGGTGAGTACACAGTGATGTGATATTTTGTTCTTTGATGCCTGATAACTGATCCCTTCGGCACCTCGTGATCACACAGACTGGTGTGCTTTTTCCATGTGGGCTTTAAGTAGGGACAGCTTTTAATGTCGCCTTTGGGTCTCTGGCTCTTGAGATGCCTGATGCTGCCAAACCGTTCATCACTAGTGGGCTGTTGGCAGCAGAAGCTCACAGCACTCATTGAAATTCTCTTCCCCGCCTCGCCTTTCCCTCCTGGCAGCTCTGGTGGGTTCTCAGAGGTTTATTCCCTGCTCCTAGCCTCTTTTCTAGCCCTCTCTTCTCTGCCCACCCCGCCAGGTCCCTCAGCTCTAGCTGATTATTGTAGAGAAGCATTTTAGGCTCTTGAAGCGGCCTCCTAGGGAGCTGTGCTTATTTGGCTGGCTATGTGTGGTGAATGTACAATTCCTTCTCTCCTCGTGACAGGGACTGTGAAACCATCTCAGTCTCACCAGAAGCAAGAGTGCTGCTGCTAAAGTAAAATGCAAATTACATAACACCCCTCTGTGCTAATGAGAAATGTTTCCTGGATTAACTGCCGAAGAAAAATTAGAGTAAATATAGGCTGTTCCACCATGTCCTATAGGGGCGCTATGAGTCAGAATAGACTTAATGGTGGGGAGTGAGGGTTATGATCAGGAGAGGTGGGGAGGATGTGTGGAGCTAGTAACAACGGATATAAGAATGAATAAACAGATCTAAAATGGATTGTGGTGGTGACTGCACAACTCTAAAGCATTTAAACCGCTGTAAAACATTTTAAATATTGTCAATATATTCTTGCTATTGTTAGTCTTAAAAATTAAAATCATTTTATTGGGAGCGTTTAAAGATATTATGACAATCCACAGTTCAATCACATCAAGCAGTATTGCACAGTTGCTGCCACAATCAACTTCAATACGTTTTCTTTCTTTTGGAACTCCTTGATAATCAGCTCTCCTTTATCCCGTCCCTCCCCGACCCCACCCCCCAGGAACCCATATTATTATTTCCCCCCATATAATAGGTTTGTCTTTTGTGCCATATTTTATATCCAATGTGTCCATTCACATACAGTTCTGTTGTTTGATCCCATCGGGTTTATACAGTCATCAATGTTATCAGCTCCCTCTTCCCCCCCTCCGCCCCCCTTTCCCCATTACTGTCTTTCTTGATGATGCTGACTGGTTTGGGCAAGTTGCTTTCCCTCCCCA